GTGCAACAGAAAGAATATCAATGTCTGCCTTGGAGCGCTGCTTCTCAACATGGAGTCTCTCTCGTTTTCCCGCAATGAGATCCCGGCAAACTTGCTTGATGTAAGAGCTGGCTGCAGTCATGTCAGCATTGCGCTTCAACGGCAGGAGGCGCAGGAGTCGGATGGGAACGAATATTGCCAGAAGTCTGATGAACCTTCCCACTCTGCCTGTGTTGAAGATGGTCTTGTAGGTTTGGTTGAGCTTATTTGCAGGGTCGTTGAGGGAGTTGAAGTCGCGGTCCATGCCTGACACGCCGATGATGTCGAGCGTGGCACGAGAGCTCCAGTCGTACACCTCAATGGCCCCAGGCGCATGTTGAACGGCATCGGCATCGGCATTGATCTTCTCCTCTGCCGCTAGGCCGGCGTCGGGCTTTGCCTTGATGGTAGCAGACAGAACCTGAGCCATCTCCCGCGACTTGCTCCAAAAGGTTGGGTACAGGTCCTTGATGTGGCGGAAAGCAAAGGCAGGCATCAGGTTTTTCCGTTGTCGCTTGTGTTCGTCGCCCTCGGCAAACAATATGCCCATGCCTAGAAATCTTCCTAGAGATTGGCTAAACTGCTTCGGCTTCTCAAAGTCGTAGTTTTTGGTCACAAGAACCTCGGCGAGGCCTTTGGGATTGGTCACGAGTACTCGCGGCTCGAACCAGGTAGAGTATGTGATTAACCCAGTGTTTGGCACATTGTCAATCCAATCACGCAAGGGACTGCCTGTAGGCTCCTTGAGGATCCTCATGGTTTGGTCCCAGAGCCAGTGTCCACCGCCAGGGCGCGGCAAGTGCCGAAGAGGACTGAAGAAGCGTGGGTAGACAATGATGCGCCATGTCTGGGCGATGGTGAAGTAAATGAAGAGGAAAGCGAATGCAGTTGTCCAAAAGCCGAGTGAGTAGTGTGGTGCTTTCTTTTGAAGGACGTAGCTGGCTCCTCCAGCCACGACCAGACCTTGGAGCAGCATACCAGCTGGAATTGAGATGTGTTCAAAGATGCTTAGACAGAGTTAACCAAGAGTTGGTGGCATCTCTGTGAAGCATTCAGTACATGTCTGAAGTTGACGCATGCTCTTGTTGAAGAAGAAGAGGACGTCGGCGCAGGCTGAGAGATGTACGTCATGCCGCTGCGACAGGGAGAGGGAGCCTGAAACGGCATCGTCCTCATCACGCAGTCGGACTTGGTTAGCGGCGGACTTGGCTGTTCTCCGCGGCCGCCACGTTCAATGTTGCGGAGGAATACCATCGGCGGGGCACAACGGGATAATCTTGTCCGCGGCCGGACAGTTTCAAAGCCAGGGGCCGAGATGCGAATGATGCACGCGACCGTGGGCGAAGTGATTGGCTGAAAAAAATGGACTTGTGACGACATGCCGAAGTTGGTGTCTATAAAATCGGAGGCATGTTTTTGCCGACAAATGCTATTCCAGCAACAGACGAAAAAGCAAATAGTCGCATCTGGAAAGTCGAACATTAGTGACGATGCATCGGAGCCTTTGAAGGGGAAAGCAAGACCAACATTGAATTGAACATCGAAGAGATCGACAGCAGGCTGCAGAACGGAGAAAAGCCGGGCGAATGATACCAACCAGCAGAGAAGAGCGGTGAACAGAGCCAATGACAAGGTAAAGGAGTGTCACAAGTGTCATTGTCGAGCGTCAAGGATTGAAGTTTCGATGCTCGTAGGCGGCGTAGATGGTTCTGTTCTTGGCTGTCTTGATGTGATTGGCCGATGGACTTGACGCTTCTTGGGCTGAGTCAGCTTCAGTGGCTGCTTGCTGTGGCTGCTTGCTGTGGCTGCTTCTGGCTCTCATGGCAGCACTGCAAGAGTAGCGATGAACGCGGCGGTGCGCAGAAGCGGAGCCGACTGAAAGGGTAGAGGCTGTCCAATATCGAGGATTGCGATTCCAACGTCGACAGATGCTGTGCGTATTTCATCGTTGTTGTTTTTTTTGACGTGGCTTTGACATGACCATGGAAGACTGCAGGAGCTTGAGGACAGTTTGGTGCATGTCTGGACGATCCGTGGTAAGAGTTGGGACCTGCCGGAGAAGAAGGGTGTGAGGTTGTGGTGACATCGTTTTATACCAGCTGCCAGTGACTAGCTAGGCGAGCATGGTAAAGGGGCTGCTTTAGCTTCACCAAATGTTGTGGCTACTAGACCCGGACAAGGTGCGCATGTGTGATGAGGCGCCTGACCTACAGACCCGTGGTACCGGGCCAGCCTGGGACTGTGACCTGCCCCAGACTGGGAGATGTCGAACCCTCCTTCGAAGCCGTTGTTGACGTGGGTTGGCCTCCACGGGTGTTATTTTTTTAAACGTGATTTGTCTGCCTGTTCAACACGTTACCGTTGTTTACGCGGGTTGGCATCCGCGGGTGTTAGTTTTTGACGTGATTTGTCGGCCTTTTCAACCCGGCCGTTATTGACGCGGGTTGGCCTCCGCGGGTGTTATTTTTTTAAACGTGATTTGTCTGCCTGTTCAACACGTTACCGTTGTTTACGCGGGTTGGCATCCGCGGGTGTTAGTTTTTGACGTGATTTGTCGGCCTATTCAACACGGCCGTTATTGACGCGGGTTGGCCTCCGCGGGTGTTATTTTTTTAAACGTGATTTGTCTGCCTATTCAACACGGCCGTTATTAACGCGGGTTGGCCTCCGCGGGTGTTATTTTTTAACGTGATTTATCAGCCTATTCAACACGTGGCCGTTGTTCACGCGGGTTGGCATCCGCGGGGGTTATTTTTTAACGTGATTTGTCACCCTCTTCTCACGTTGCCGTTGTTGTCTCGGGTTGGCGTCCGCGGGTGTTAAGATTTTAACGTGATTTGTCTGCCTATTCAACACGGCCGTTGTTTACGCGGGTTGGCATCCGCGGGTTGACCTAGCTAAGAGCTAGGTCCAACCCATTAAGACCTGCGGGCGCGGGCTGCGGCGCGGGCGGCGGCGCGG